TACCGGCTGAGCAAGTGCAGAATGGTGGTGGAGTGTGCTTTTGGCCGTCTCAAGGGGAGATGGAGAAGCTTACTGACTCGCTGTGATCTCAGCGAAACCAATATCCCCATTGTTATTGCAGCTTGCTGTGTGCTCCACAATCTCTGTGAGAGCAAGGGGGAGACCTTTATGGCGGGGTGGGAGGTTGAGGCAAATAGCCTGGCTGCTGATTATGCCCAGCCTGACAGCCGGGCGATTAGAAGAGCCCAGCGGGACGTGCTGTGCATCCGGGAGGCTTTGAAAGCTAGGTTCCTGAGTGAGCAGGGTAACCTGTGACTTTTCAGTTTGTGTACAGAGAAGCTGAACCTGCCCCCGTTTCTTTACCCACTAAATCTTCAGTATCCTCTCCATTTACATACCCCGTTCCCACCCTTCCAAAACACGTTTAAAAATAAAATGACTTGAATTTTGTTAATGAACACCGTTTTCTTTATTACTGTTTTCGCGGGAAAGTTTTGAACTTGGGACGCAGACTGTGGTGGGGAGCGGGTGTAGTGTAGTGATGCAAATGACGCTTCTAAACTCCAGGAATGACAGGCTCCGCAGTGGGGGGCGGACTGGTGGTTTCAACGGAGCCTGCCACCCCTCCTGTTCGGGACTGTGTGTGTGGGGGGGCTATGTGACTTTGTGGCAGGGGGAGGACGGTTACAGATCCCCTGCTGCGTGGCTCTGTGATCCAGGATAAGGACCGCTGCATAAGATCTCTAACTGCCCTCCCCCGCCACAAAGTCACAGAGCACCCCCCACAGAACACTAAAACCACCTCCCAGACTGACCAGGGTAACTAGTGACTGCAATGTGTGTGTGCCCTGCTGCTGTCCTGTCCAATTACCAACCCCTTTCCCCCCCTTCAGACAGACTGTCCTCTAAAGAACATGATGGAAACAGTAATGAACAGAAACGTATTTTTTATTAACAACTACACATGAAACTGGGGGGTGAAACTTGGACGGGGGCTTGGGTGAGGTGGGAAGGAAAGGACTTTTCAAATTTTGGGGAATGAGAGCCTTCTGGTGCTTGAGCAGTTTGCAGGGGTGGAGTGAGAGTTTTCACGGACTCTGCCGCCCCTCCTTCTTTGGACTTTGGGTGAGGGGGGTATGGGACTTGGTGGCGGGGGAGGGCGGTTACAGATAGACTGCAGCGGGGCTCTGTCCTCCTGCCTCCGGTCCTGCAGAACATCCACAAGGCGCCGGAGCGTGTCCGTTTGCTCCCTCATTAGTCCAAGCAGCGTTTGAGTCACCTGCTGGTCTTCCTGCCGCCACCTCTCCTCCCGTTCCATGTGTGCTCGGTGCATTTGGGACAAGTTCTCCCTCCACTGTGTCTGCTGGGCTGTCTGGGCTCGGGAGCAGCCCATAAGTTCTGAGAACATGTCCTCCCGTATCCTCCTCTTCCTACGCCTCATCTGCGCTAGCCTCTGGGTGTGTGATGCCAGGCTAGGTTGTGAGACAGTCGCAGCTGTGGGAATGGGAAAAAGGGAGTGAATTCCTCAGAAAGATAAATTTCGTTGTGAACAAAGAACATAGTCTTTCTCTGTGAACAAGACCATGCACAGCACCTATCACATGCGCACTCAGGACAAGGTCGAATTTTCGGCCCTCGCATTCAGTGCCTGGGGTCTTGCAGTGCAGATCAGAGAAGCGGGGCAGAACACTGGAATTTGTGTAGCAGGCCGACATGGTGAGCCGTAGACTTGTGGCTGCTTAAAACTTTGATAGTTGCACTGGCCTCCTTTCACATTGAAAGCAATGCCAGTCCCTGCTGCCAGCAATCCGGCAAGCATGAACTCTGCCCCTGTCCCACCCCCTCGCGGCTGTCCCAGGGAAAGATCCCTGTATGCTGCCCCTCTCCCGCCTCCACCGCGTGGCTGTAAACCGCCGGTTACAGTTCTGTAAAGGAACAGGCAAGCGGTCCCAATACTAACATTCCCCTACCTAATTCAAAGCAGGTCATCATGAGCGACATCACTCTGATGAGGATTTCCGAGACGGAAAAAGAAAGGATGCTTCGGGAAAGCCTGCAAAGACCAGGGCCGTATGCCGCCATGCTCTGCAGGGCAATGATCCCGGAGTACTTGCTTCTCTCCTGGCACGGAAATGTTTCCTACTACGGAGGACCCAATAAGGCCGCTCTCCCCAGGAACCTGATGCAAAGGCTTTCCAATTACCTCCAGGAGAGCTTCGTGGAGATGTCAATGGAGGATTTCAGCTCTATCCCCGGACATATAGACCGGATTTTACTGTAGCTGCACTGGCAGGGACTAAACAGTAGAACGGCTTGGGCAGAACAATCATGCTACACCGGACATTGCTTGATTTTTTTAAGTAGTTGCACTGCCAGGGAGTGAACAGTTAAGCGCCTAGGGCAAAGTAATCATGAAAAACCCATTCTTAATATTCCTGTTCTGTGAAAAATAAATGTTTACATGTTTAAAACACTTACTGGCTGATCCTTCCCCTGATTCTGTGTCCGGGTTAACGGCTGGGGACGGTTGGTAGGGGATCTCTGTAAGGGTGATGAAGAGATCCTGGCTGTCGGGGAAATCAGCGTTGTAAGCGCTGTCGACTGCCTCGTCCTCCTCATCTCCTTCCTCATCTTCCCCGTCCGCTACCATGTCCGAGGAACCGGCCGTCGACAATATCCCATCCTCAGAGTCCACGGTCAGTGGTGGGGTAGTGGTGGCAGCCGCACCTAGGATGGAATGCAGTGCCTCGTAAAAACGGGATGTCTGGGGCTGGGATCTGGAGCGTCCGTTTGCCTCTTTGGTCTTCTGGTAGCCTTGTCTCAGCTCCTTGATTTTCACGCGGCACTGCGTTGCATCCCGGCTGTATCCTCTCTCTGACATGGCTTTAGAGATCTTCTCATAAATCTTTGCATTCCGTCTTTTGGAGCGCAGCTCGGAAAGCACGGACTCATCGCCCCACACAGCGATCAGATCCAAGACTTCCCGATCAGTCCATGCTGGGGCCCTCTTTCTAGTCTGAAATTGCACGGCCATCTCTGCTGGAGAGCTCTGCATCGTTGCCAGTGCTGCTGAGCTCGCCACAATGTCCAAACAGGAAATGAGATTCAAACTGCCCAGACAGGAAAAGGAATTCAAATTTTCCCGGGGCTTTTCCTGTGTGGCTGGTCAGAGCATCCGAGCTCGGACTGCTGTCCAGAGCGTCAACAGAGTGGTGCACTGTGGGATAGCTCCCGGAGCTATTAGCGTCGATTCCCATCCACACCTAGCCTAATTCGACATGGCCATGTCGAATTTAGCGCTACTCCCCTCGTTGGGGAGGAGTACAGAAGTCGAATTTAAGAGACCTCTATGTCGAACTAAATAGCTTCGTGCTGTGGACGGGTGCAGAGTTAATTCGATGTAACGGCGCTAAATTCGACATAAACTCCTAGTGTAGACCAGGCCTAGGTGCCATACCAAATCGAACTAATAAAGGGCCGAATCCTGTGCAAGGAGTTCCCATGGAAGTCAACATGGAGACCTTGTAGCAGCAGGCTCAAAGTAACACAAAAGTGCAGTACTGTAAAGTGTTGCATATATTTCTGTCTTTCTGAAGTGAGGACTTTAACTTTTCCCCAAACTGTCCACATCATACGTCTCAGACAGTCCTTTTTCACCAAATGGTATAACACTGATCTATGTAGCGCTCACATCATGATTCATGGAACACTTATAGGTGAGCCTGGAGCTGCTTCTGTCACACTGCTTTGTCATTTACCAATTTTCAAGTTGTGATACTTCATGTTAGTTGTCCCCCAGTCACAGATTATTAGGGTTTCCAGAGGATTTTTTGACCAAGTAAACTAAACAAACAAAAATAAACACCCACCTGTGACTCCAGCAAAAAGAAGTGCCCATCTGCACCCTGCTGTGCAGCCACTTTGTATCTTTCTGGGCGTTTCTTTAGCGTAAATAATAAATTTGTGGATGACAACTATGTTGTAGTGGCAGCAAACATACATAAGGAGATAATCAAATTGCAGTGTCACCTAAGCAGTATAGTGGGAGATGCAGACAGCAATAGGAAGATGGTACTAATAAATGTATGGCACAGCACAGATACAAAATGCAGGGGAGGAAAATAAGCAATTAGCCCTGCCCACCATGTTGAAACAAGCTTCTTTTTATTTAGTCTCTCTAATCCTGCCCTCATATTGCTTTTTCATGTAATCGTGCACCATAGTTCCTGCAGGGAAGGTGAGGGATCAGGACTGGGAGGCTGGGAAATAACTTGTTCATGATCATTGGAAAGTGACTATGAGCAAGTCTTTCTTACCAAGGTGTCTGCACTGTGAAATGGTTTGGGAATCACTAATCTATATGAGAGGCTGATCACTTGCAATTATAAGATAATATAAACAAATGTCAATATAGTACAAATAAGTTTTAGAATCAAGAAAGAGCCTACTCAGGAAAGAGAATCTAGTGCAAAAAAACTACTCATCTACTCAGGGATTCTGCAGCACTAGATTCTGAAAAATGACATTACAGATGACTCTTTTGATGCTTTATTTGCTTTGCCTCTTTTGCCTGGCCTAGGCAATCTTTGCTTAACTGATTTGCAGAATCTGCCTAGTGGCAGACCGGAGGAACAGATGTGTGTAATTTGATGTTTTCCCTACATTTACAAATGGTATACAAGTGTATTTATCATTATGCTATATGTAGATAATGTACTTTTAAGAACTTTCATAAATAGAAGGAAAGTCTTTTAATTAAAAAAAAAAGTTTAACAAGTGAAGTATATGGTTAAAGAGAGAAAACCAATAAAGTGCTAGCAGGAATTTGACAATTAAAGTTGTTCCTCTCTACCTCTAACAAAAGCAAAACCCCACCTGTGTGAATTAGCTGCTTTGCCCCTACAATCTCCCAAAACTTTTCATCTGAAACCTCTCCTTTTCTGTCTTCCCCTTTTTACTCTTCTGTTGTCTACATTGTTTGTCCATCCATCGGCTGACAGTGTCTTTACATCCAAAATGCAAAGCAGACAGATGGGCACCTCAGGAAAGAACATGACTAAGAGCACCAGCATCGGCGGGGACATGTACACGCTAGAGAAGAATGATGGCAGCCAGTCTGACACAGCAGTGGGCACTGTGGGCACCAGTGGCAAAAAACGACGCTCCAGCATTGGCGCAAAGATGGTAGCGATTGTGGGTCTGTCACGAAAAAGCCGCAGCACTTCTCAACTCAGCCAAACTGGTAGGAATCAGATTTTTTTCCTTCAATACTTTGTGATTTAAATATGCATAATATGTATATATTACAATTTAGTCATTTGAATGTAATGCTGAAGTTGCCTAATTAACAATATTCTAGGGGGAAAGAGGAGAGTGGGAACTTTTTACCTGGCTGAACATTTACCAAACTGATTTGTTTCTTTAGCAAATATCCTCCTACAGATTGGACTGTGGCTTGTGTTTTTATGCTTGCTAGAGCACATCTAATGCAATAATCCTTTCCTTCCAGGAACCAACGTGAGCTGTTATGCTTATGTTTGGGGGATTGTTATTAATGATTTGTGAAGGACCACTGAAATGCAGTTGCAGAATTGTTCATTTGTTATAAACATTCTTTGTATATTTCAGTCCTCTTTTTCTCACATTTGAACATGCAAAATTGATTTGATGTGAAACAGTTTTAATTACCAAGATGGTATCTTATATTTTATTGGATTAGTATAACCATTTTATTGCTCAGTACTTCCCTTCTTTTCAATTTGCAAACATATTTGTCATTGGTAGAAATCTTCCTCATTGCTTTTTACATTTACTAGTTAAAATTCAATACCGAAATGTTCTACATAAACAGGGATAGAGTTATTTTCTGACTTAATACCAGGACATCCAGAATCAGTGTTAGGTACTTTGTTTATTTCACGCCTTACATCTGGAAACAAATCACTTATGTATAATTCACTCTGAAAAGCTGTCATTAGCAATTAAGGAAATTGAGTAAAACTAATGTTTCTTACAAAGGAAATTGGATATTTTATATTTAAACGTGTGTCTGTGTGTAGTATGCAGTGTATATTGTATGCTCATTAATATTCATACAAAAGTAGCATGTTATGTTGGTATGTGGTTTATACTAAATACAGCAAAAAACAGCTCACTCTCTTCTGTTCATACATGCCTGGAGAAATTATTATTTATTATTTGTATTATGGTAGCACCTAGGATTCCCAACTGAGATCAGGCCCCCATTGTACTAAGCACTGTTTAGACATGGAATTAGAGACAGTCCCTGCCCTGAAGAGTTCATAATCTAAACAGAAATTACAGACAAAGGGAAGGAGAGGAGAAATATAACATACAAACAGAGTGAACAATGGAATGATTTCCAGGTGTCACAATTTTTTATTGTTTTGTTTGTAAACTTTTTTGGGTGGTGTTTTGTTAGGAGGGGATTAGCTGAACTGAGAAAGGGAGAACAAAGGAATTGAGAGGGGATAATGAAGGGAGGGGATAGGAAAAAAACAGAATGGGGGGAGGAGAGGAGCATGGAGTGAGGTTTAATGAAGAGACTGTGTGGGTTGGGAGGCTGTTGTACCAAACAGCCCAATCATCAGAGGGAAAAAATATTCAGAGTGAAAGCTGTAAAAACAGTCAGACACTGGTGACATCATCAGCATCCTAAGGTCCCTGCTGCAGTTAGTTGTCTCAGCTCCTGCCAGCTCAGTTTCTGGCTTCAGAAACTGCAGAGCTTTCTGCTCTTTCTCTCTTCCCCAAGCTCACATGCGTGAGTGGGAAAGGATGGGGTTACAAAGGGCTTGATGCCACCTTATGGAAGCTCTCCCTTGCACAATTCTGGGAAACCTCTAACTGGGTGTGCAGTTTGCCCATGGCTAGATGCATGTCCACCTAGACATGGTGTGCAAGCAAATCAAGGATTTGCACATGCAATAATGTTCTTGTAATGTAAATGTGCAGATGTGTGTGGATTTCAGAGCTGAAAATAAGGTGCTATATGATTAGGGATAGTCTGTCAGGACACCCTTACTAGGAGAGGCATCAAATGATTTCAGGGTGGACATTCAGTTCATAATACATTGTTCTCTTAGACGATTGCCATAGCCTGGATCCAAAGTAAGATGGGATCAGACTAAATATCATGTTGAGATATTTATGTGGCATAATATTTTTAATATGCAGTATCTCCATCACTACTTTTTAAAATCAGTTTGACGCTATTTTGTATCCTGTAGTTCTAAACAGAAACTAGGGGTACAATTTTCAGAGTTGCCTCATTGAAGTAGGAGCCTAACTGCCATTGATTTTCCTGGACTGAGAAGCAGGTGGTATTTTAAATAATTCACAAATATAAACAAATTCATTTCACTATTAGAGTTGTGAGAAAAACCAATTAAAGTTAGTACAGTAATGGCAGACAGGCAGACTTTTCCTCAGCTCTTCCCCTTATGGCGTGAGGGCCTAAGTTAAGAACAGAGTGTTAAGCTTTTCAAATTTAATTTACGTACAGGTACTTGTAAATTCCGTCTATTTTATCCACTGGGTCATTTTCCAGTCTTTAGACTATACGCTCCTTGAGACTGGGACCATGTCATTTAGTGTAGTTGTACAATGGCTATAAGACCTAATGACAAAACACTGAACGTGCTGTAAAGTACTTGTAAGTAGATTTTAGTATAACAAATAGCAAAGCACTATCATGATATAGAAACTGCCTGAAATAAAGGGAGTAGGAAATTAATTTCCAGCAATACCAACATAGTTCAACGGGTATCATGCTTAAGCTGTCAGCTAAGTGTCTCTTAAATTGGTATGCCAAGGCTGAAACAACAATTATGAAATAACAACACAGCATTTGTTGAAATTACCATCACACTTACAAGTTCTTAACTTTTACTGTCCGAAACATGTTGGCAAATTTAAGTCGTTACATAGCGGTATGTTAGTGTCACTATAAAATTGCCTTCTGATGCCTCCCAGTTATATGTTGTAGTTGTCTTTGTTTATATTTAATGGCTAAAAACTGTGACAGAACGTGGCTTTGTTTAAAAAGCTGAGTTAATCTCATGACTGTTTTTGTGGCTATGAGTCAAACAGCCTGTATATTCATCATAAAATTCCATAAAAGAGCTAATTTCTATTGTCATTTGAATTTAACTTCATGTTACAGGCAAATTGAATGCATTCTTTGTTGTTAGTAGACGTGGAATTGGGAAATTTCGACTCTAGGGATAAATAATTTAATGTACTCTGTATTCTAATCTTTAACATTTGTTTAATGTATTCAAATGTTTTTGTTATTGTTTATTTTTGAGCGCCAAAATTGTGTTAGATACACATGAAAACAGTCCCTGCCCTGAAAAGATTAATTCACCAAGACATAACAAGTGAATGAACAGATCAACAAAAGGGGAGAAAAGGGGGGAAGGAGACAATAACAATATCATATTGCTACTCGATAAAGCATGTACACATCATAATCTTTATGGTTCTGGTGTGTGTGTATGTGTGTGTGTGTGTGTGTGTGTGTGTGTGTGTGTGTGTGTGTGCGCGTGTTAATAAGCATTGTAGCAGATGTGAGTACTCAGGAAGGATTTGAATGTGGCAAGACAGGTGGCTTCATGAATAGGTTGGAGAAGGGCATTCCAAGCATGGAAGAAGGCACAGAGATGTCTGAGGTTGTCAAAACTACATCGTAGGTTGAGTGGAGAGGGCAGGGGGCAACATTAAAATAGATCAGGTCTAGGATGTACAGCCATGAAGGCAAAGCAAGCAGAGAGGACTGAATTTGATTTTAAACATTTTGTTATTTTTAGTTTTAAAGTGATTTTTCAGTACTCTGAAGGGTGCTATCTTGATAGTTTGACAGCACTGGAAACCAATATCCTATCTCCACAGAACAAATACAACACAGGGACTATGCTTCTTCATACTCCCCTACTTCAGACATATTCTAAAGATCCACCTTCAGTCATGAAAGGACATATTTGTCAACAGGCAGCTTTGTTTCTTGACCTTTTTGCTGAGATTGTCAACCAAAGTGCCAGATGTGAATTGTACTAAATACATCAGAGGACACCACAAAGAGTAGTGATCCTGTAGTAGATTTACAATGATTTTGTAATAGCGATGTTGCATTGCAGTAAGTTTACAATAGGACGATTCAGTTTTTTCTTGGTCTCCAATTTATCTATTTTGAATAAATGAATTGTTTCTATCTAATCAAATTGTGATGTCATCTATGTCTTTATACCACGTCCATCCCCATAGTATCTGAGTGCTTCATAACAATGAAATTAATTCCCTCATGTGGAGTACCACTTCCCAAAGTCTGAAGTTGGATTTAGCCCACATTTTAACCACTGATTGGCATGGCTACATTGGTGCTCGATGCCATCCCAAAGTGTAGACAAAGCAAGCTGAAATGTACATTAGTGGAATTCACACTGGTGTCAAGCCACGGTAAGTTGTCTACATTAGGCATTTGCATTAATGTAGCTCCTCCATTAGCTGATAACAGGGCCAATTCTCCATGTGGACAAGGTTTATGAGTTTTTCAGGAAATATCTAATCTTTCTTTTTCACTGGCATTTTTCGGTGGGAAATGCCTAAAACAGACAACTAAATTTTCCACATAGTGAAAAGGCCTAATTCACTTATGCACCATTTTCAGGCCCTCCCATTCAACAGAAGGGGCATTGGTTAGTGTTGCCAGACGTCCGGTTTTCAACTGGAACGCATGGTCGAAAGGACACCTAGCTGCTTCGGTCGGCACCACTGACTGGGCCATTAAAAGTCCAGTCGGCAGCACAGCAGGCCCCCTGCCTTCCCTAGCTCCGCATGGATCCTGGAATTAGCTGTTAGGTGCCTGCGGCCCCTACGCGCTGGGGTGGGCAGGAACCGGGAGGCTCCACACACTGCCCCCGTCCCAGTGTCGGTTCCGCAGCTCCCATTGGCCTTGAACTGCAACCAAAGGGAGCTGCAGCAGGCGGGACCTGCAGGCACGAAGGCAGCACGCACCATGCAGAGCCGCCTGGCACCCATGTGCCTAGAGGCCGCAGAGACCTGGCGGTTGCTTCCTCGGAGCCGCAGTAAGCACCGCCAGGACCCCGCACGCCCTTCCGAACCCTGCCCCAGCCCAGAGTCCCCTTCTGCTCCCCAAACCCTTTATCCCTGGCCCCACCCCCAGCCAGAGCCCTCACTCCCCCCACACCCCAACCCCTAACCCAG